TCTCTCTCCGTCTCTCTCTCCGTCTCTCTCTCCGTCTCTCTCTCCGTCTCTCTCTCCGTCTCTCTCTCTCTCTGCAAGCTCAATTAAAACCTAATGTAGTTAATAAGGTCTATTGCTGGATTAATTTCTTTCAAAAATCCGTTTTACTCTTTGCATGTGCCCATAACAATAAGAAACAAACCACAGCAAGACAAGATACAGAAGGCAACGACACTGAAGTAGCTACATTATAACCTGGCAAATTTATCTGAAAACTTGAAGCAAATTATTTTTTCTTTCTTGGCATCGCTGAATTAATATGGAAGTTTCATACGCAATGAACAGAATACTTCCGGATGAACACATTCGGGGTAAATAAACCATAATATATAACTATGGAGATGCGATTGTATAAAGAGAAAGAGAAGAGAAGAGAAAGCGAGAGAGAGAGAGAGAGAGAGAGAGAGAGAGAGAGAGAGAGAGAGAGAAAAGAGAGAGAAAAGAGAGAGAGAGAGAGAGAATAACATTTCTAAGTTTTACCGTCACAGATAATTAGTTGATTGATGTGAACTGTTTTAAAGGCTGCAGAGACCCAGCTTAGGCTAAGTACTTCTAGGATCAGTCAAAAACCCATAGAGGTGTCTGCAAGGAAACATTTCGTCACAAAAAAACTGGTCGCCATACAAAATATTTACCCATATTTTTTTAGCAAGGCAGATAAGGAGAACACTGGATCCATACTGCAACAAGAAACTGTAGGCAAAGAGGCCAGGAGAGAGGAAATATGATGTTACATTTGTATTCTGAAATGGACAAATAAATTATATAAATTATTGACATTTGAGCTGATAGAAGTCAAAAACTGCAGATTATAGTTGAAAAAAAAAAACATAAATGAAGAGAACACGTTTTATAAGATAACGCAGGGGCTGACCAGCTGGAAGGTGGGTACAAGGAGTGAACGGTTATGTGGACATGTCAAAAGAGGTTTTTGGGGAGTAGAAGTTAGCCAATTTACTCAGTTTGGCTTTCCAACCTTTTATGTTAAGAGACTTGCTGACCAGGTTTATACATTTTTGAAAAAGGTAAAAACTGAGGTCCACTTTCACGCTGGTGATGCCTCGGTAAGGAGATGCTAAGACAACTTTCAAGAACACCCAATTCCCATGCGGCAGACCCGGCTTCCAGTCTTTGGTAAGGTTAAAACCTGGAAAAACATGCTAACCTGCACAATCCATGGCAACAGCACTAGTTACTCGACCTTAAACTCTCGCTCTCAAATACCCTTCTGCTTATTTTTATTTTTTTATTTTTTTAATAAGCTGTAGATAAGTAGTAGTGGGGAAATGTTAAATATAAAATTGGATAGAGGTGAAGAAATAAGTGAGATGTCTGGACGACCACTGGTAACAACAGGTATAAGACAAAAGCAAATGGCGCTGCACTGGACACTTCCTGAAATGAAACTAGCAAAGATTTACAAAAGAGGCACTAGAGAAGGAAATAAAGGGTCTGAGTAAGAGGGGACATCTTAGGGAAATCGTAAAAAGAAACGGTCTGGGCTAGACTGCCTCCATGGAGTCGCAAGGGTTGCACGGGGGAGAATGGAAGGTAGGAACAGACTGTGAGCCCTGTGTGCTGGACAATGATGATGACGATAGTGTTGTTGCGCATATGTTCTGGTTATAGAGTGATATTCCCGTAATTTATCAGACACTTAGTGAGTAATGTGGTCAACATCATGTCGATCGCCTTCACTGCCCATGAGATTTCCTAGTGTCCATTTTGAGATGGGTAACCTGGCAGCACTAAACGGTTTACAAAACCAGGAACATGATTCTAAACGGTGGCAAGCTGTGACATGGCTGATGAAAGCAACATCTCAGATATTAATTATATCCCACAAATGATTTGAACCGTGACAGAAATCCCCCATGATGTTTTACGCGTCTTTGGCGATGTGCCCGCCTCTCGTTGGCCTAATTTCATCAAATCTGAAGCGACCGAGATTTAGGACCAAACCTCAAAGACACCAATACACGCAGACCTTTTCCGTCTTTGATGAGGTGCTTGCCTCATTTACTTCTACATTTTAAGTGCCGTGTGGCAGATTTCACTTCAGATTCTTATAAAACGTTGTAGCATCAGTTGGTGTATCACTACAGCTTAGACAAGGTAACTGCCGATCCAGCCGACATAGGTAAGGTCATGGTGTGGTTTCTTATTGAAAGCTGACCTGGATCACGACCAGCTTCAGATATATCTGGAGTTAGCCGTGCCTGGATGAGGCTGTGTCTTGGGTTTCTCCTCTTCATTTCAATTTACACTTGTGTTGGTTTAGTTTATGTCTGTTGTCTCAAAACTTGTTAATTCTGGTGTCTCATATTCCACTGGTGTAAGGTTAATGTATGTTATTTCACTAATGCCCGGCTCTCTAGCGAAGTTGGTTAAACCTGACTTTCGTGGCGGCCGGGTGACGAACTCCTTGTGGTCCGGGTTCACTCCCGAGGGTAGGGAGAAAAGCCACATTTCTCCCAGATTAACGGTACCTATAATGGAATCAATGCCGAAGGGTTGCGATATCCATAGTACCGAGCGAAAGGGTTTACAACTCATGGTTTCTGGATACGTTAAAAAAAAAAACAATTTCACTAATCGTTGAACTGCCTATCCTTTGTTACGTCTTTTAAACCCAAGTAGCACATGTCTGCGTAATATGTGTTGCCTTAAGTAACACTCGTCTAGTTTCTTTGATTAAAGTTATCATCATAAATTTCCACTTCTGCCATTAAGCTACGTAGGAAGGAGAAACACTTTGCGATCCATGCTAGATACGCAGCAATACCTACAGTCATTCAGAGGCTTTCATGTGTAGGGCCTGAGTTCGTAGTTGTTCTGTCTGCATTCTTAATAGGCGACCAAACCGTTTGATCTTCTCTTTCTCAGTGAATGTGTTGCATGAAGTTTTTCTCACAGTCTGTCTGATAATATCATTTCTAACAATGTCTCGGGTGGTTATACTGGCGGATTTTCTCAGACATCTAATTTCATAGGTGTTATTTTAATTCGGTTAGCGTTTGATAATGTGCAATCTGGCACTTGTGGCAAAGTTTTGGTATGCATATGCCGTTTATAATGTTTTTGTTTTGTCGCTCATACTTGTGTTTGGATGTCTTAATACCAGCAGAAGTTGCTAGATAAGCGCGCTGGCTCTTTGGTATCTTGTTTTTATCATCATGCCTAAAACAGTTAAGGCATGTATATTGTTTCCGTTTTAACCGATGTTGGTATATTGAAGCTTTTAGTTCAGATGCAGCTGATGCAGATATTATTGTTTACAATTAAGCGGGGCCACTGGCCGAATGGTTAGACCGCCGGGTACTTCAGCGGGAGACTCGGGTTTGATTCCTCGGTAATGTTCGGAATTGTTATAAACCTTCAGGCTCAAATACGCCCCTGTCCACACCGCAACAAGTGGCACATACAGGCAGTCTTATCGTGTGTTTTTAAAGGGCATTATCTAGTGGTCAGTGCCGATATATTGTAAGGCAACGTCTGTCCTTTCTTCCGCAATCATGATTCCCAAGAGTCGTCATCCTCATCATCATTTATCATGTCCTGGACTGAACGTAGCTCCCAACACAGGATGTAAAGCTAGTCGTCCGCTGCCAGCTTCTCCACCATGTAAGCTTTCGTCGACATGTCCACGCTGTGGTTGACAGCTTTTGTCCACCGTCGACCTAGTCAACCTCTGCCTTTTATAATAGGAAACTAAACCTCCTTTTGTCCTTTTTTTTCAAATTCTTCTTCTTTTTTTTTCTCTCTATTGTTATTGCCGTAAAGTGTCGCAGAGAGGAGTTATATGTAGTTTCCTGATTTTTGCTAGTTGCATAACATGTTTCAAAGTCACACTGCATTTCTGTAGTGCCTTTTTTTTTACTCCATTAGCACATCTGTTTGTTCGTCGGTCTCTTGCCTTAAAGATTGCTGTGCTTATACGGTACGCTCTAGCTGCTGGCTGATTTTGTCCCGTTTTAACCAGACGACAAAAGAATTTGATTCTTAAAGTAAAGTAAAGGACCCTTTCCACGCCTTTAGGCGTATAGGGCATATAGGGCTAGAGCTATATTTTTATAGAACAGTCGGCAAAAGATGGGTGATGTGGGCAGCACCACGCTGGCCGCCCCAACTTTCCCGGGACTGCACCCGGTACCCAATCAAGGCTGGGTCGACCTGGGAGCCAAGGTCATTTTTTTTAAAAAGTCCGGCCCCGCCAGGGAGCGAACCCACGATCTTCCGATCTGCGGCGAGCGTCTAGCCGCTCGGCCACGATGACTCCCATTTGATTCTTTAATACTCTGTGAAATTATTTACCGGTTCTATGCCAACCGTTTGTAAGTAACGCTGTCTCTTCTTGTTTTCCCGGTCGCATTTCTTATACATCTCATCTCAGTAGCTTTAATTGAGGATTTATTCATTATCACCATCACCGAACACCGCGTGTTGCTTGGTCACCAGCTGCTGCTGATCCTCTGATCAGCTTCTTTCACTTCCGATGGTCAGATGCGATAGACTTTACGGTTGCATGCGTAAGTCCTGTCCAGTCAATTAAATTCTGTATTCTGTTCTTTCTTGGTCTGCCTCTTCGCCTCTTTCCCTCTTCTTGGTTTTGTAGTATTGTTTTAGAGAGGGCCATAGGATCTAATTACATGTTCATACTTTTGTATTTTCACTTTTTCATTGTAGTTAAAAAGAAGTCATAGTTGCCATTATGCTGGATAATTATATGGCATGGCAAACGCAGTCATTTGTGATATTGACTTTTTATGATATGCCACGAATTTTTCTGAAACATCGCATTTTCAATGCTTGTATCTTATTTTTAAGTACAACTGTAAATATGTTTTATAATAATAATAATATATTATTTATAATACATATAATTTATGAATATATCAAAATACACAGATTCAGTAAAGCAAAGCGTTTCGACAGTCTAGCCACTAACCTACTTGAAAAAC